CCACCATTCATCCATCCCTTCTTCCCACCCCACATTTGGTCCTGAATGAAAATCTGTGTTTATCCCTCACCGTTTCTCTCTCCCATTCCCACGTCCCCCCCTCTTCCCTCCATAATTCCTTTCCCCCTCTCCCACCTCCCTCAACTTCCCCCTCTACCATTCATCTATCCCTTCTTCCCACCCCACATTTGGTCCTGAATGAAAATGTGTGTTTATCCCCGTACCTTATTAGCAGCATGTAATGCAGGCAAAGCTTCGTCCAAATCTCGTTGTGCTTCAGTAGCAATGGCTTCCGTTTCAGCCGCTTTCTCTTTCGCCGCACTTTCATCCACCAACACAACTTTACGAACCTGAAACACAGTAACAAACACTTCAAAATACGAGCTTTTCTCAGTAATATTTTATTACAAACAAGGTTTCAAAACAAGAAATTCATCTCGTTTTTCGCCTATTTTCGGCCTAATACAGCTATCCAGTATAAATAAAGTTAGTTTAGTTTAGGTTTCCTCCTGTAGTAACACTGGATCAATAAGAAGTGATCCTTACTGGACCTCTAGGGAGAACAGTTTAGAACTGATAGAGCTATCCAGTATAAATAAAGTTAGTTTAGTTTAGGTTTCCTTCTGTAGTAACACTGGATCAATAAGGAATGGTTCTTACTGGACCTCTGGGGAGAACTTAGACCTGTAGAATATAAATAAAGTTCACCTTGTCTGCTTCTTCTTGATCAATTTGTAATTTCTCCATAAGTTTTTCTGTGTCGAGAGATTTTTGTTTTAGTTGTGGTTCAAGAGCCACCAACTCGACCTGTGCGAAAACAAAACAACGAATTCACATGAAGCAGGAAAGTAGAAAGAGGAAATTGACACAATCTGAAAAAAATTATGAAGAAACATAGCTTACCTGCATTTTATCAACCAACTCGTTTGTCTCCAAAAGTTTCTTCAAACCATTCTTCACACGATCACAAGCGCCAACTAATTTTCTATGAGAAAAATTTCAACAAGGCTAAATATACTTAAACCATTGCAACTTTCAGACCTAAGGCTAAATATACTTAAACCATTGCAACTTTCAGACCTAAGGCTAAATATACTTAAACCATTGCAACTTTGATAGCGTAAACCAGGCTCTTATTGAAAACAATCCGAGTGACTTACTTTCTCTTGTCCTCCAACATGGAGAGATAAAGATTGATCAACTCCAGATAACTGGTAGGTGTTGTATAGTATCGTCGACGTAGCTCGTTGTAAAATCGTTCAGCTGTATGACTCACACTGAGATGCGTCTCAACACACATTTCTGAGATGCTTTCCTGCAGAAGAATATACAAATATGGTACGGTAGTTAAATAATTGAGGCCTAACAGGGCAACCGAAGGTACAAAACACACACCTTCACTTCGTCTCCACCCAGTTCAATTTCTTCAAAGAAACGTCGAGCAACAGAAAACAATGCCTCTCTATAAAAGTAAGTTTTATTAGAATAACATTAATATGGCTTACACCTTGGGCATTGGGACAAAACGTTTCTCATTATGTTCATACAAGTTTATTGATGATCAACAAGCCCCCCCCCCCCCTAGCCCTGGCTAGAGGGGGTGCAGGATGGTGCTATTTTTTCATTATAAAGCAAAAAATATTAGAGACAAAGTAAGATACAGTAATTTGAGTAATAACATGATCATAAGCGAACTGTGAACAACAATTCAAGTACAGTGATCAAGCAAGACCTTGCAGTAGTCAGGCAAGTTGATGGGCTGGCGGCACACATGACCGACACAACTTGGCACCAGAGCTGGCAGAGCACTCCCCCTACCGGATCATGCTTGACCCATCCCTGTTATCACTAGCTCACCTAGGCCACTCCGTGAACCAGTCAATGGTACAACAATTCACCAAGGATGGAAACATCCGACATCGGGTGCGGAATGCTTCCCCCACTGGACTCATACACAACACTATATGGAGATTGTTCCTCACTTGACTGATGAAATACGCAAACACGCCATCACGGTCGTTCTCAGCTATACCAACATCCTTTGCGGCAGGGCGTGTCCCAGCTAACACTTTCTCGTACTCCTCTGGCTCAAAGAGATTTGGTACCTGTGGAAATAATCAGCATACCAACAATGAGAAACTTCACCATGTCAATGAAGAGATACAGTATGTTGCCACAGAAACAGTTAGATATATGTTATCCTAGCAACAATGAGATGTTACTATAGCAAGAATGACATGTCTCCATGGCAACAACAGATTCTCGCGTCATCAAAATTTAGAGCATAGCAAGGAAGTTTTGTATAATAAAGCAGTGGACCGTACGAACCTCTCCTGAGTTCAAAATATTGTTAATATCTTCAAGAAATTCTTCCACAACAATCTGAAAAGATAGATGATGAATTATTGTCCAGTTCACCATTTCTAACCATATACATGGTTTCTAAGCCTAAAACAACCATGTCACAACAGCTTATGCAGGAATGTTGCTATATCACACTAAAACTGATTTGCTAAGAGCAAACAAAAAACAAGATACATCCACACTATTTATATCGATGGATATGACTTGGTCACAACAGACGTGATGAAACCAGGTTTAACTCACACACTCACATAATAAGTAATTTCATTTGTAGAAAACAGGATTATTTAATAAAGCAAAAAAAGTTAGAATTAAATTAATTTCCTACCTGTGTATCAGTGAAGAGAAAGACAGTATGTTTTTTGTCTAATCCTGCTGAATAATAAAGTTGTTTCAAGTCTTCACGGAATGCGGCGTAATCGTATCCCCTCGTCAGTTCAATTTGAAAACATTTATATCCTGCCATGTGAGCAGCCAATCTGAACGAAACAAATAATTTATAAATGTTAAAATTCTTCAGCATAACTAGCTTTTAAGACGTAGTGTGGTGCAGGGGTGGATTTATAGGGGGGTGCACAGGGGTGCGCACCCCTGTTGGTCTTGATCAACAGGGGTGCAAGGCGGGTGCAATAAAATCAAATTCAGAAATAAGGCACAATTTCCAAGGTTTTTCCTTTTTGAAGTCAAACTGAAGCATAATTCAATGCCCATATCGCAGGAAATGGCATTTCTAGGTTTCTAATTTTCAAAATGTTCCGGGGGGCATACCCCTGAACCCCCTAGGGAGCTCACGCCTTCGGTGCTTCAGTTGTTAGGAAGCTAATTCATTTGAATGCTCTCCCACCACCCCCTAAAGAATTATAAAGAAACACTCCGCTGCTCACCCCGCACACCCCTAGAAAAACCTTGCTGGATCCACCCCTGGAGTAGTGCAGTGTATTGGAGTTCTCACCTTGTTAAACTTTGCTTTCCAGTCCCACCTACGCCAACTAACAGAGCGTTTCCTCTTGGTTGACGCACCATGCGAGAAATCCTGCAGAAAAGTTCGTCAGAGTTATAATATTTATCTCATGGACAGGAATATATAGCTTGGAAAATATGGAGCACAAACTACCACTTTCTGTTTCAGCTAGATAATGTTTTGAAACAATAAAACAGTGTTCAAAGGATAAAAGACGATGACTATATACCTCGTGACATGTTGAATTGCGTCCATAAAGAAAACCAGTCTCATTTCTTTAGAGGAATTCAAATTAAAGTCATCCAAATACTGCAACACGAAGTAGATTACTGAGAATTAATTTTGGACCAAATTTAAGGTAAAGAATTTTGAAGAAAATACAGCATTTGAATAAGACACAGTCAATACAGGGATGGGTTTAGTCAATAACAGGGATGGGTTTAGTCAATAACAAGGAGGGGTTTACTGGGAGGGATGGGTGGATGCGCACCCCACCTAGCCCTGGCCAGAGGGGGTGCAGGAGGGGGGCGGCTATTTTTCATGATAAAGCAAAAAAATATTAGAGACAAAATGAGATACAGTAATTTGAGTAATAACATGATGATAAGCGAACTGTGAACAACAGTATTATTACAATTCAAATACAGTAGTCAAGCAAGACTTTGCAGTAGTCAAGCAAGTTGATGGCCGGGTGGCACACATGACCGACACAACTCGGCACCAGAGGTGGCAGAACCCCTCCATCCCCCCACCAGATCATGCTGGATCCATCCCTGAGTAAATATGGAATACGTACGTCGTTTAAAATGGTCTGAAGTTTGTTCATGTCAGTGAGTTCCTCGTACATTCTGTCTGCTGGATCAGCTCCCATTTTCATAAAATCACCGTACAATATAGGCTTGCTTTCAAACAATTCTGGATCTACAGTCTATAAAACAAACCAAAAAATTAAGGTTATTAAGGAGATAAGCACAAAAAAAGTATCAACACAAACAAACAACAGCACAAACACAAACGAACAAACAAATGCAAAAACAGAACAAACAAACAAACCAAAACATAAGCCTACCTGAGAGAAATGCTTCTGTGACATCTCGGCAAGAATTGTGTTAAAATATCTTTTGTCTTCATCGTTAATCAAACGGTCATGAAACACGCGCTGCGCTTCGTGGCAGAATAATCGGAAGATTTGAGAATAATCACGAACTGTCCCTGGGTCTGCCTGAAGCACACCTGGAAAATAAAATGTTTTTTTCTCGATTGAATTTTTCAGTCGCTTGTATAGTTATATCACGGTTATATGTAGCTGTTTATTTATTATAATTGCTAATATTTTATTAACTTTTTTTCCGTTATCTAAGCCTCCAAGGCGTTGAGGTGATAGGCTAGAGATGAGATGAGTTCGTCTTACCTTGAATACACTTGGAGAGATCTCTCAAGTTAAATATATAATGAGACTTGGCAGGTGTTGGAAGTAGATCTGTGCTCATTCGCATGTAGATCTCCACACTAAAATCAAGGAAAATGCGTTGAAGAATTTGTACAGGAAAATAATAATGGCGGTCTCTAGGAGAAAAGGGAGGAGTAAGGAAAGGGGGAGAGTAATAAAGGGAACGGACAGTAAGAGGAGGGGGAGTACGGGGGTAGACCTGTCCTCCATTGGTCACAGGAATAACAGTTCTTACTCTATCTGCTGGAAAAACAAGACAAAGTCTACTTACCTGGACGCAACAATAGCTTCAGCTGCTGTACGGACTTCGTTAGGAAACTCTGTCAAGAATCCTGACACTATGGACTGCAAGAAAATATCAGCAATTTATTTTTTATGCTGACTATTCCCACAGAAGTTTTTGGGAAGACGTACTGGACGTCTATAGGGAAAACAGTTTAGATCTGATATAGCTACTCTGTATAAAACAAGAGGCCTAGATTTACCAAAGATATCTTTCTTACCTTAAAGATATGTTTCAATGTATGTTCCGCTGAAGTTGGTATTGAAAACATACTAAAGTGACGTATAAACCGGGGGGTGACGGGATTTCGACCTCCACCAGGAGGAGCACATGCTGCACAGATGATTACATCCTGGAAAAATAATGATTGATTTATTAAGATGACATAAATTTATTAATAAGACTAAACATTGAACAACACAAGAACACTAGTGGCAAAAGGAATTTAGGGTTAGGGAGTTCTCTAGTGGCATATCAGAAACATTCATTTACATCTAACAAATACGTGCGTGCATTGCAAACAAATCAAGATTATGACCTGCTGCGTTAGTGCAATCTACTCAGGTGAATATGATGCTTGTGATGTTTCTCTGAGTGTATATCCACACCGGGCAAGCTTGAAAAATATGCCTGGCCACGGTAGGAATCGAATCTACGACCTTTGGAATACTAGCCCAATGCTCTACCAACTGAGCTACGCGGTCAGGTCGGTTCGATGATGAAAAATATAAAATACCTTGATCTCTTTCCAGAAAAGTTTTTCACGATCGTAAAATCCTTTGAAATCCTGATATTGTCGGAGTAGTTCCACAGGGGGCTGGGCACCATATGTATCCAGTTTAGGCATATTGAGATCATCGACAAAGATCACAACTTTTTTTCCGATTGGAGCGCCTGGAATACAAAACAATTTAATTATTTTTAGTGCTGCACCGATATACGCAAACATTGGCTAAACTTTTTTATTTTTTATATGAGAGAACTCAAAAACATTTAAGGTGGCTCCCTACAGTTAGTACAGTTTAAATACGATTTATATAGATCAGACTTCATCCTCGCGACCTGCGCGTGGAATCGTGTTTACTGTTCTGCAAAAATATTGAAACAAGCCGTGGGAAGTTTTTTGGCGTTGTTTATCTACAAAGAAAGCCCCAGTTTTTCATTATAATCCTATTTTTTTCTGAATTCGAACAGTACGTATGTTATTAACTAGTTTAACTTATCTTTTAGTGTGTTTTTACGTATTTACGTTCAGTATTGTCTTTCATATTGCTCAAAATTTTCAACTTGTTGTTTTGCGAGCTGTCAAACTGAAATGACACTGTCTTCTATTAACTCTTGAACAGTAGTGAACTGTTGCCGAAACTTATATAAGTTCTGTCAATCAATTCAATTTACAGGTATCGTTTTATCTGCTAAATCAAATAAAACAGTTATGAGTTGTTTTATATGAAAAGTTAAACTTGTAGTTCGATGTTTTGAAAAGTTTTCACACCGACTTTAACAACAAAAACAAATGTAAACTAACACTGGATTTAATACAATGCCTATAATAGTGTTTTTATTAGTATTTTCAAGATTAATATTTTATTTTCATGTCAAACAAGTCAGAAATATCTGTTTTCTTATGTATTGTAAGCCAAAAAGTTGAAATCACTATAAATCACACGCTACAATTTACACGCATGCGCAGATCGTGCTCATGTCGAGTCGATTTTTTTTCATGCTGGCCACGCCGATTTTAGCGATGATTTTCTCGTGTTTTCTTCGGTGAAATTTTTTTAAACTTTGTATTTTTGTTAAACAAGAGGAATGGTACAACATATCCAAATTTTAAGAAATTCTATAAATAACTTTTTCTGTAACAGTCATTCACGAATATCTCGAAAACTTATTTATAAATTCCCTTCAAATTTTGATATGTTTTTCCTTTATGGACCATAAATCTTCAAAAAAAATTTCAGAAAAATTCACCGAAGGAAAATATAGATATTGTCCATTTATTGTGAAATTAGGCAATAAAAGTGCAAAAGATTACACGTCATGGTTGCCATGGCAACACAAATACTGTTTTAATTTGTTCATAAATGGACAGCAGACAGCTTCT